CCAGAATTGGGCGTTAGTTGTTTAACATCCAACTTAAAAAACAAAAAAACCCAAAAACCAAAACAAAAAAACAAAATTGAGGGAGCATGTTGGAATTTAGGGACTCTATTACCTTGCTGTGCAGGGGGCCCGGATTTTAGCAGGCTGTCCTGCAGTAGCAGCAGCATATGTCATTGCAGGTCCTGGGGTCTGGGAGATGGGTGTATTTGCACTATCTATGCCAAGAGATAAAATCCATCAATGGGCCTTCCCTGACTGAACTGAACTCCAACTTAATTCAATGAGTCAGAGTGCAAGGTTTCTCTTCCTGTGACTCAGGTACTACCCTAGTGGGTGGTGCCCTCTCCTCTTGGGTAAAGCAACTGCACTGTTCAACACATTTTGAGAGGTGAAGGGACTAGTTGTAAAGTGGGTGGGGGAAAGAGATACAGCCTCAGTAGAGATGTCACTAGTGATTAGACTAGTAGATTATTTTTCAGAGTGGGAATGTAACTACCTGCATAGTAGTGCAGCAGGATTTAAAAAAAAGATCTTTTATCTCTAGAAATGCAATTTGCAATTGCAGAGTCCAAATTTCATACAATGAAATGGCTCCAATTCCCCTTCTTTTTACTTTCCAGCGGCTCTAAGAAGAGTCTTTAGCAAGCTTCATTTTACAATAGCAGAATACAATGACCTCACCGCAGAGGAGATCCGTAAGACTGTGAACATCTACCGCTGTGAAGACCACAAGAACAAGGACTGTTTCGTTTGCTGTATCCTGTCTCATGGGAAAAAAGGCATTATATATGGTGTTGATGGGCAGGAAGTACCTATCCAGGAACTGACCACTTCTTTCACTGGACAGAATTGCCGCTCACTTGCTGGAAAACCAAAAGTCTTTTTTGTTCAGGCCTGCCAAGGTGATGCTTGCCAGCAAGGTGTGACCGTAGAAACAGATGCTGGAGAGGAAGATTATTCTGTAGAAACAGATGCAAAATTTCAGCTTGACTGCATTCCCGCAGAGGCAGACTTCCTCTTGGGCATGGCTACCCTGCAAGATTACGTTTCCTACAGAAGCCCAAGGGAGGGGACCTGGTACATACAGGCATTGTGCCAGCACTTGGAGTACAGCTGTCCTCGGTAATGATGTTTCCATAAGCTGCTTTTTTGGCAATGCCTGTATTTTCCTTCTGAATGGCAGGAGTTTGATTTGCAAGCAGAGGTAGATGATACGCAGTGGGAGTGCTTGCTCAGAGTGAAAACAGTAACGTAGGACAGAGCAATACCATGCAGATTGTTCAAAGCAGCTTAGCTAACTGCTTTGAAGTCTGTTTAAAACAGGAGCCGCTAGCACTGGTATAGATCAAGATATATGAGAATGTGGTAATTTTTTCTGACATCAACTGCTTCCCTAATACAAAATGTACTTGCGTTTTTGCAGAGGAGAAGATATTCTCACCATCCTGACAGCAGTGAATCAAGAGGTGAGCAGAAAGAGTTGCAAGCCAAATGCAGAGAAGCAGATGCCACAGCCCAGTTTCACACTGAGGAAAAAGCTCATCTTTCCTGTCAACTAAATGGGAGGGAGCTGCATGGCAGAGGGAGCTGCAGCAGCCTGAGATCAGCTGCTATCAGCTAAGACTTTGATAAAACATAACAAACTTTCAGTGTCTGTTCCTACCACAAGAGCACAGCTGAGGAGCAAAAGCATAGAAATCAGTGTTAATGTGTATGACACTTTATACTTGAGAGCATCTCTGAGCTGGTCTCCGTATTGTGGTTTGCTAGCTAAAACAAGCTTTGTGTCTACATTTCTGTTGCTTTAGTAAGGGGTCTTTCCAATGCAAATTTTAAGAAAACTGTTAAACAGCCTTTTGTATTTTATGCTTAACTTTTGCAAAATAAAGGGGGGGAGCTGCTGCAAATTTTATAGGATATAGTCAATCAGCTCACATCAGTGTGTTTTGTTACTTCTCCCCACCACTCAAGTCATTCTTTTTTAGTGTCTTGGTACACCTCAAGGAAGAGTCAAGTACTTGACCTCCAGCATCCTCAGCAGGATGTGGCTGTGACCTGCATTTCAGAGAATCCTCTACTTAGAGTAGTCTTCAGCTGTGAAAATCAATTGCTCAGGTACAGCTTCATGGTTGAAGATGTCCGGCTATCCTGTGTTCACTTACCTTGCTGATCTTTGAATCTCAGTTCTAGGCACAGCAAAAGAAGAAGTTGCTAGAGAAGTACGCAGCTCCTTAAAAACATTTTTGTATTGCCTCTTGTGATTCGTATGCAAACAGAAGGGAGACTTTTACAAGCTCTGAGTAGAAGCTAAAGCTTTGTAAGTCTCATTCAAAAGATGAGATGTTATTTTTCTTACACCCTTGCTACAGCTTTCAGCATTAGTCATGGTATCAATGTAGGTGGTGATTATTTAACTGAACAGATAGATCTTCACAGGAATTATTTTAAGAGCCTAAGTCCTTCCCTGGACTCTTGTGTTGAATGTTTCTCTCTTTGGTACCAGTTTGTGTCTGTGGCAGAGAGCTTGTAGACTGTGAGAATGATTAGAACCTTAACTGCAGATGCAGCAAGCAGTTACAGAAACAGGCAGATCTGTGCTTCCAAATTCTGGGAATAATTTTGCAATATAGTTGTTGATGTTCATTTAGGGATTCATCATGAAACTACTGAAAGTTGTGCTGAAGCAAGGACAGCTCATATACAGAATTTTGTCTATTACTTGGACATGGCCAGAAATATAAGCAAACAAGCATACTACTCCATGGTCAAAATAATTAATGCAACCTGTTTTACTGTGCATTTTCCTCCTAGATCCTTTCTCTCTACACATACTGCTCAGCACTTTACCTTTTACAAGTCACCTGTGTTCTTCAGCAACTTTCCAGGACGTATGCATGCGTCCTGGGCTCCCTTCTTCCCCTGCTACACTACCCTGCCTGTCACACTGTAGGTGCAACCAGGAGCAGGCAGACCAAAAGTACCCAACTTTCTCACAGTTCCCTTTTGCTTAGAGGGGGAGGCTGGATCATCTTCAGGGAGCCAAGAGATTCTGAACTCAGAGGCGTCAGACTGACGTCTTGCTCATGCAGACAACTTTTTCCTTAGGATTCAAAAGAAGATACAGCAAATACAAACAGTTGGCTACGTTCAAGGAACTATTTTTTTTCAGGAGTTCATGGCATAAAAATCTGGGGGAATTTTCCAGCAAGATTTAATGCATGTTATAAACCAGGTCTTATTAGGGAACTCCTCTTATGAGTTATGACTCTGATTAGGAATTCTTCGTTAGTTAGGAATCAAATCTGTCAATTACTAATCACCACAGCTAGGCTCCTCAGATAAAGCAACTGAGATCTAGCCCATTCACAAGGAGCCCTGAGCAGCTCTACAGAGCAATTACGCTCAGCCATATGAAGGAGACAAGCAGTTCTGGCTCACAGACTCAGGGTATCACCATCATTGTGTCCCTCCCCTTGGTGCCATTCTTGTTCTGGGTTCAGAGTTAAGATTGTAGAGACAGATTCTCAGATAATTTGATGACCTAAAATCCTAACTATAAACACAGTTACACAGAATTTTGCACAAAGTTTTGCCAATACCCAGCTTTTTTTCAGCAGCTGCTCTCTTCAGTAACGTCTAGAAATATTCTTGCAAGCCAATGACTTCTGTGAGCTTCTTGAAGCAAGCTGTGAAAGCAGCTTGTAAGGAAAACACATGCATACAGAGCTCTTCACAGCACAGCGTGCTCATCTGCCCATTGTACTACTGATGATTCTGATTACATGGTGCAGTGAAGGGGACACAGCTCAATGTTGCACTTTGGCTACGTGTGCCCTTTCTGTTGATTCCTAGTGACTGGGTTGGGATGAACAGCATTTAGCAGTCCTTTAACTAGACATTTTCTTAGCTTGAAATGCGTGAGAACTAGTGAGGTAAGCTAAGCCACCAGCAAAATGAAACAGAAACAGGTTGTGGTTTAACCCTGATAGGCATCACCAGTGGGATGGGGAAGAGCACAGGAAGGGTGAAAGTGAGAAAACTCAGGGGGGTGAGATAAAGACAGTTTAATAGGGAAAGCAAAAGATGTGTGGAAGCAAAGCAAAGCAAGGAATTAATTTGCTACTCCCATCGGCAGGCAGGGGTTCAGCCATCTCCAGGAAAGCAGGGCTCCATAACACGTAACGGTTACTTGGGAAGACAAACACCATCACTCCAAATGGCCCCCTGCCTTCTGCCTTCTTCCCCGGCTTTATATGCTGAGCATGACACCATATGGTGTGGAATATCCCTTTAGCCAGCTGGGGTCAGCTGTCCCAGCTGTGTGTGTGTCATGTGTCTCCCCCCCCAAGTCCTTGTGCACCCCCAGCCTACTCACTGGCCTTGACTCTGTGGAAGCACTGCTCAGCAGTAATGAAAACATCCCTGGGTTATCAACACTGTTTCCAGCACAAATCCAAAACATAGCCCCATACTGGCTACTTAACTCTACCCCAGCTAAAACCAATACAGAGGTTTTCTGTCCTTCCAATTAATTTGAAAATTTCTGCTAAAAGCACAGCTTCTCGTGGGTTATCCAAACCTACGCACCAAGAGCTCAGCTGCAAGAGTTAGAGATATTTCCAAGTGGAGATTCCAGCCCACACAGAAGGTCTTACATGCATTTGCTTCTGCATTGTATAAAATGCTATTTAAAGGCCCTTGCTCCTTGGAGACTGTCAAAAGTCTTAACAGTGTAACCAACTAAAGGGAAAACAAGGAGGGAGCTCAAGGCATTTCCAAGTCTTATCATCTGTGCAGTATTACTCCAGAATTTCTTTTCAGAATTGCCAAAGTCCCATTGATTTAGGTGGCTTAATATACCTATTTTCTCCAGGAAGCTCTTCCTCAGGCACGCTTGAGCTTTTGTGATTAGCTGTTTTCCTGCAGCTTCAAGAGGGTTACAGCTCTCTTCTTTTACTACATCCGAAGTGCTAGAGAACAAGTTGAAAAAAAAAAGACTCCCCAAGCTCTTACATAGCATGTACACTCTTACAGCCAGCTGTAGTCCTTGGCTTAGGTGTTTCAGGACAGCTGAGTTCAACAGGATTTTGTATACTGACATTAATTTTCTTTCAATATGTACCAGGAACAGCTTTGATGCCAAGAGAATACGTAGCCAGAAATCCCAATTCTACTAATACCTAACGTTCCCCCAGTACCATTTAGCTGCCTACAGCCATAATGCTTCTCCGCTGTGGAACGCACTTCTATAATGTTATTAGTTAAGTTGGTAACACAGGCCTTTGTTCTGAGGACATGCAAATACAAATGCAAACATGTGAAGTACTCATGTGCATAAATACAATTATTATTAGGAAATAGTGCAAGTTACCTACTTGCTGGTGAAGGAAACTTGGTCAACGTTCCTTGCAACCCAGATGCTGCTGTTCCAGCTTGCAGCTCGAGAATGTCTCCTCAAAATGTCCAGTTCAAGCTTCAGCATATGAAAAGTTGAGCTGAAAAGACAATTTCAGTCTGACAAGAGTGCAAGCCCTTCTCCTCATGTTGGAAAAACAAGAAACCTAAATACACACAGGATACTTACCTTAGGATAACGGTGGTTCTCGGTTCTTTGAGATGTCGTGCACTCAGACTACCAGTGGAACCGCTGTCAGTAACTGTTAGGTTAATTCAAGTAAGAACCTGTTAGCTGAAAATTGGTGTTTTTCACATTCTGTACCACTAAATGAACTGAGTGTTTTGGGGAAAATCATCAGAACCTTCCAGCCTGAAATGTGAGCACAGGGGCTTGTACTGAAGGTGGCATGCAGAGGCTGACAGGAGTGGCAAGAATTTGGCACCTCTCTCCCAAGAGAACTTCAGTGTGACCTACACAAAGGAGTACTCTTCAAGGATAAGTAGCTTGGTTGCAATCTCTACCCCGATTTTATCACAAATACAGAGGGCTGACATATCATCAGCTACTGAGATGGAAAAACAACAGTAGTGTTGTTAAACAACAGTGTAGTCTAACACTGTAATTCTAGAGGAACATTTCCTCTATTCCCTATAAAATAACAGCAGGAAAAAAACCAAAACACCACACACACACAAGCAAAACCCCCCCAGAGTTCCAGAAAACATGAACACATTCATTTAAAGTGAGGCTCTCATTCAAATATTGTGTCTAGAGGCTGATGAGCTATTCTTCATTTGTGAAGTTTCTCATTCTCAAGTAAAAGGCTTTTCAAACGGCAGCAGGAGGTACTCTGTAAGCGTTCTGCTCTAGGTTTAAGCATCGCACATTCACTGTGCAGTCAAACCACACAGCTTGCACTGCACATCTGCCACCTTGAACTGCTGAGGTATAAACACAACAGCAAACAGCCCAGCCCAGCCTGACCAAGTTTTTAAATCAATTTCTCAGCTTTTACAGCCACCACCTGTGCAGATACCAACTCACTAAGCTCATGTACAGTGTAACAATCACTACATTTTAGCCAAAAAAGGCCTAATTTTACGTTTATTCTAGAACATATAGAATGTATAGAAGATGACATCTGGAACAAACGACACAAGGTGACCAATATACTGAAAAATGGCATGTTATATATGTTTATTATCAAATTTACATTCCACTATTAAACAACAGTAGGTGCAAAAAGCAGGTGAAAAAAAATACCATGAAGTTTCCAGACCATTCAAACATTGTGTGTAATCCCCTCGTGTAACAGCCAAATGAGGCCCAAACCCAATATTCTCCTTCCCTCTCTGCTGCTGTTTGACTCCAGTAGACTTTTAACTTTGACCACAGGTATTTTGACCATGCAGGCATCACTGAATTTATCAAAACCAGTGAAACTAGAAAGCTATACATCTGTGCTTGGTTTAAGCCCATCTGAATAAAGGTAAATACTGTAAGAATTTCCTTCCATCTCTTGAAACTTTCACAACTGTGGGTAAGTCCTTTCTTTCTAGCATGTTTTTGTCTCAAACCTGCAAGATAACAGAACCTTTCCGAAATGCAATTCTCCATTCCTTCTAGTTCTACCTCGCACTCAACCAAATCACATTTGTGCAGGATCTCAGCTATCTTAAGTCATGCAAGTTTGTCTCCTCTCTTATGGGAGGCAAGAGAAGCCAGATCAGTTCCTAGAATGATGGCAACTTTTAGTATGTTCTCAGAAACACACGTGTTATTCAAAAAAGTTTATCTTCCAGGTTTTGGCACAGAACAGTAAACTTGGAAGAAGTACCAATTTTCCCAGGCCAGGCACATATATACAAAATGCACGTGACCATCCAAAGGTATAAATGCATGACAGAATTTTGACAACACTGCACCACAGCATCAACCAACTGGATAAACACACAAACACAACGGTATAAAGATTCTTCCATTTTCTTCTTGCCTTGCATGAAGTATCTGATGATACATCATCTTACAGAAAACAAACAAAAAACCCCTCTTGACGTATCTGCAGTATTGTTTGAACTGAACCAGTTCATATTGTTGGGCTATGGAATATGGAAGCATCCCAAAGAGAAACATACATTTAATTAATGTGCTTTTAGATTAATTTTAACTGAAACCTGGGCTGCCAAAGGAATTCTGATTTAGCTGATTTGCTGCTTCCGCTAATAACACACAGAATGATCCAATGGCTGGAGTTATCTAATGAAGCTAGTTAGAAACACATTGTAATACCTTCAAAAACTTCTCTGTAATTTACAAGTATTCCTATAATAAACACACATAAAATGGACATACTTTTGACACACTATACACTTCTCTGTTGATACTGTCTACTCTTTTGTTAACTCATTCCTGGTGTTCCCCTAGAAGGTATGAATACACAGCAGACATACCGGTCTTGGTTCACTGGAGAGCAAAACTACCTCCCCCCCCTCCTTTCACTCTTACCTTTATTTAGCTAGGCACAGCTAAGTATGTACAAACATGAATACTTACATGAAGAAATTAAATATTTTTCATTTAAAAACCAAAATTAACCCGTATGTAGTATTTTAAATAAAATTCACCTTTTATAAGTGTAAGATTTTGCTTAGAGAGCAAAAGGCAACTCCAGGAGTTCCTGAATATTTCTGTGCGCTGCTGACAGACAAGTTTCTGCTAAGAATCCCTGTGCAAGTTTGAAGTGGTTACTCCTTTTCCTTTTACTAAAAAAACCCACTGTTGTATCAGAGAGTCATCACAAGATCTATAGAACTGTAAAAGCAGAAAAGCCACTTTACAAATTTCGTATAAACCAGGTTAAGGAGCTTTCTTTTCCTGCCCTTCTCCACCCAAGCCTGCAGCAACAAGGGTGCTGAGTACGGCAGATGTGCCTTACGGCAAACGAAGATCAGTGTAATTATACTGATGCTTCACACTGCGTGCCCAGACAGGTACCAGCTGTATCCCACATACACTGTAACAAGCAAGGTAAACTTTTGACTGTTTTATCAAATTGTATGGAAACTAAAATAATTTTAAAGTGTATGGAAACTAAATGTTAAAATAATTTAAAAATGTTGATACGTACAATAAAAAAATTACATACAGATTAAGAACCTGTTTCCATGCAGGTCACTAGCAAAGTCCCATTCCTCCAAGGAATTCTGGGCAAACATTTTTTCTTCTTTAAGTTACACTATAAATCTATTGTAGATTATTCAGTTATGACTAGAACCTTGGACAGGAAGGAATCAAAAAATCAGCATGGGCAGTTAATACTTTGCTGATTACCACACAGAAATCAGATTTCTAAAACGGACTTCTCTTTTGAGATGGGAAGTCTGCCTCAGCTTTGTTCAGAATCAGGTTCAGAACCACTCTCCATCATCAAAACACAGGATTTCAATGTAGACAATACTGATTTATGTTCATTGAAATGCTACAAAGAACATTAGCTTTCATCTCCCTGTTTCTGAATATAGACTGGTAAATTTTGCTCTTAATAAAATCTTTTAAACAAAATCCTGCCTAAAGTCAGAAATAAGTGAATGAAAGGCATGAAGTTTACTGCAGAACTCTCAAATATATATAATGTCTACCAGTCAAGAGAAGAGTCAGTTTACTGAATTTCCAACACTTGACTTGAAGAAAATGCTCTCTGCTTATCACAAATAAAAAGAAACCCTGAATTGAGCACCTAGGTTTTATTTCCTTTTGCAACACAGAAATGTGCCTGAGATTTTTTTGTGTGTGTGTGCAAAAGTACCCTCATTTAAAAAGATGCACAGCACACTTTGAACAGATTTCTTAGCTTGAAGTTTTCACCCTAATACATACTTTCCTGCTTGTTAATTCTTACTCATTGCACCTTCCTTGTGCTTCAGAAGCTCTGGAAAGAAATGAACTGCTGTTAATTCCTCACTAGCACAATTGCACTCTTTCAAAATATAAATCCTGACCACCAGTTTCTGTGTTCATAAACAGAAGTTTTGTTTTCTTACATAAAGCTAAAGGTTCTCTCCCTTGCTTCTCAAAGTGGAGAGGAGTTCAAGAGTACAGTTTCTGAAATGGAAAATACGAGAATAAAAAAACAAAATCCAAATTTTCATATTTGTTTGCTACAGAGAGGAATTTGGACCAATAGTGCTGGTCAGACTGACTTATTTTAATACTATATTTAAATGATACAGCCTGACTGGTAACTATGGTCGTATGATGGAAAAAAATAAAACAGCACCTGCAAGACAGTTCTACACATACCGTTTAAGAGGTTAAAATACTGAGAATGACTACAATGGTCTTTTATTTTTGCTTAAGTTAAGACAGATGCTGAAGGGTGTCTCAAAACTACACTTTGGTTTCTTCTTTCTTATCTTCCGCAAAAGCCTTCTTCCTCAAACCCAAGCAATGCTCTTTTTCTCCTTGATCCCAACGCCTCTCTCTCCCACATCTTTGACATGCACGTGCCTTCTCCAACTCTTCTGTAACACATCTAACAATGCCTGTACTGGATGTTTATCCCTCATATGTTATTTACTATGCTAGAAGTCAATCATTTTTCAGACCAGTCAGTCCTCCTTTAGGATATCCATTTTCGATGACTGTGTGCAAACTGGAGCTCCCAACGCTCCAATCATGGCTGGAAGGCTCTGGTTTCTTCTCAGTCGTGCCATTAAGTTGCTACCTGCATTTAAAAACACAGCCGAGTCCTGCCTCCGCAAGCTAACCTCTGGCCCTTGATTCTTCCTGTGGTCCTGTGTCTCAGGGGGCTTGATCACTCTGGCAATACCCAGCCTCTTCAGTCTGTCCACTAGGTTCATCTTCAGCTGGCCTACATCTGGAGCATTACGGGCGGGCTTTAGGCCATACATTTCTTGCAAGAAAGTTTCTGCTGGTCGAGAAGCCAGGAAATTTTCTGAGTGATGCACTCGAGGCTCAAACAGTGGAGGGGAAGGACAAGGTGAATGCGAGGGAGAATTTGGTGGAGTAGAAGGAATAGGGAGAGTTCGAGGGGGCTGTAGCAAAGGCAGTTTTTCTAACATAGGGCTATCGTAAACCTTGGCAGAGATGCCTCGTTCTTGCAAAAGCTTTGCCAGACTACTTGTGCTGCTGAAGGTAGTAGTTGAATCTCTTCTGTTGGTGAGAAATTCTCCAATACTAAGCCTGTAAGAAACAGCTGGAGTGCTCATTACTGGGTTTCCAATACTGTTGCCAGTACTTCCAAGTGAACCCATGGAGCTGAAATAAAATAAAAATGAAACAGAGAAGATGCACACATTAGACATCTTTATACCTGCTCTGCTCTGTATTTGCTTTTTAGTATACAGAAGGCTTGAGAAAAAGTAAATTATTGCTATTAGCTGTGACAGCTTCAGTTTTAGCAGATTCAGAATTACTGTTCTGCAAAGTATTTAGAAGATACTAGGTTGACAGAGAGGTTTTGGTGTAAGTACCAATGAATTTACCTTCTGTGGTCACCGATACCGTATTAGATGGAATATCAACATAGATGTCCAGTAATAACTTGGTTCAAAAAAATTATGACATAATTGGAAAAAAAAAACCCATAGAATCAAATTTTTTTTTTATAATAGGTATATGATACAAGGCATTTGGTATTTAAGAGTATAAATTTACTTCCTTTAAGTTACCCTAACCTGTTTTAACTCTCACTCTAGAGAATTTCAAGTTTTCCCTTTGTAATTACAACTATTTGTATGAGTAACATCCTATGTGTTGCCTAGCTGCCTTGGTATTTTTCAAAACTGGTCTATATATCAGAAGCCAGAAAGCAACTGTTTAATCCTAAGCAGCCACATTTAGGATGCCAGCAGTGATCATACCTGGGAGTAACTTGAGTGACATCAGACGGGTGAAGGATCCTACAGGTAGTAAAGGTAAACGTGGAGTTTGTGGAAGACAGACACTTCCCTGGATTCGAGGCTGCAATGTGGAGAATTTACATCCGTTGAGGGTAAAAATAAAGACAGGTAAGAACTAATCAAAGCAGAGTTTAAGAGAATGTTATTATCACTGCTGATTTTTTTTTTTCAATGGAAAACAAAGAGAGCAAAGACAGCATTATTGCAAGGTCAAATACTTTCCATTGAGCAAAAGACACTGCAAAATAAAAAGAGGAAAAAACACTAACCATGCTTCTTACCGGTGAGTGGTACTGCTGCTGAAGTAATAGGTGGCAGGAAAATCCCTGTCACTGGCTTTGCCACTGTGCATTTCTTTTCCTCCGGGAAGGACTGTTGCACTTTAAATGTTATACCTCCTTCACCTTCTTCTTCATCATCCTCCTCCAAGTCAGAGATGCGGTACACAGTATCATCAGACAGAGGGGTAAAACCTTTTGTAACAACACCTGGTCTTGGGTCAAGAATGGTGCCTAGGTTGGGTCGAGCAAGCTGCTGCCAATGAAAAAGGGTCTGAGATCCTGGTGTGACAAAAGAGAAGAGTCTCAGAGAGCCATTACCTACTATTGTATTGAGTTACACGAATTCGTGATCGAAACAACTCCAGCCAACTGGTGCCGACACTGTGATACACATGACGCACTTGGATGGCAATGCCAAGAGAAAGCCTAGCAGTTAGCACCATCTAAGAAAGCCAAGAAGAAAGTGATACTGATGAGCTAGTTGGCATACAGCCTACCAAATACTACTACTTCCTCTTACTGCATATCATACCTAGCTATGCACACTCCAACAATGATTTAGTTGGCAGATTAATAGAAAATCCTTTTCTGCTGATGAGAGAAGGGGGGATCATACTCTTACCTTCAATGGGTTTGACAATTTGCAATTTTTCTGGTAGGAGGACACGGAGATTACTAGAGCTGGCAGAGAGATCGGTGAATTCTGAGTTTGTACCCAGGGAAAAACAACTTTCTGTCGGTGTACTACAGCCACTAGCCCCTTCTTTCTGCTCAGCCAGTAAATACATTTTTCTCTCCCATTCCTCCTCAAAGAACTGCTTCTCACTCAGGTAGTTCTGACGACGGAGAGAGAGCCTGTGCAGAGCTGTGACTAAGTCGTTGTCTCCAGGGGTTCCTGGCTGGCCAGGATTATGAGTGTCTCTGTGAGAAACACCAAATAATAATAGATATCAAGACCATTAAATTAACTATTTCTCTCTTACACAGCTGAGGTGCAGTCTGGATTTATTTTTTAATCAGTTGGTTTAGAAAGACAATAATAGGCTGTGTTTCCTACCTCAAATTCTTCTCAGAGCTGCTCCTCTGGGTCATCTGTGTGTGGCTCTCCAACTGGTGTACGCCAGACTGGAAGGGCTTTGCTGTCATAACAACACTTGACTGATTAGATCCAGGGATTGGCAATGGAGCAGGAAAGGAAGAGGACCGGCCACGAGTGACATTAGCAACCCTGACAGTGTCAAATACTCGTTTCTGTTGACCCCTGCAGGAAAGACAAGCAAACAAATGTGGTTTTCAGAAGCATTTTGAAAAAGATATAATAAAGAAAAAGCTCTGGACAACAGACTTTCAAAAGTCTGCAGAGATCTGACTAAAATGATTTAGGCGCAGAAAAACAGGATTGCCTAAGACAGTCATGTTTTCAGGAGTACTATTCTATTAAATATCAGAATTACCACTTACTTTGACATGAAAGACCTGTACCATCTATTAATAACCACTTGAGAACATTCAGGAGCATGTATTTTGTTTATTTAATTTATATATACTTTCAGAAGCATACATTTAATTTAATACTTCTTGCTCAGAAGTAAAAGATCCAGTAACAGGTCTTCAGGGCTTTGGAAACCATTATCAATCTTTCAGCTGTAATTTCATTTGCCTGAGAATTTTTCTATCAGCATTAAAAGAAATAAAAGGATAAAACTGGTGCTGTGCATCAGAGAATTTGCATCAAAAAATCTCACAAATTAAAGAATGAAATACCATCCTTTTAGCAAATTCCCAGCTTCCTCATAGAATCAAAGAATAGTTAAGTTTCAAAGTTGAAAATATTACCAAATACGACAGAGCTTTTTTTATGAAGTTATGTAGAAAACTTATATTTATTATATTACCTATATTATTATATAATTTTTATTAGATTTATTAATTATATTGTATTTATAGAGTTCCAGAAATCAGTTTCACCTTACTTAATACAAGCATAATATCAAAATAGCACACAGAGATCAGGAAACATACTTTTGCTTGGCGAGAACAGATTCATCACCCTGATTCAATTCCTTCCGCATTGTCCCTTCAATTTCTGCTGCAAGGGAATCCTAGAGAAAAATGGAAACCAGAGGAGCTGACAAATTGGATTCAAGTCTTCCTCCTAACAATTTCAGCAGAAAACATCTCTAAAACAATACTCAGAAAATCTCCATTTGTTTCCCTGGTATCACTATGTTTCGGACAAATCCTTTGGTCTCTGAAGGAAGGGCATGGGGGGGAGTTTCCACCATAACTACACCCATGTGTAACCAGTATGGGTTCAGCTTTCATTAGCAACGTCTGCTTTTTCTTGGTACTCTTTATGTTGGTTTCTTAAGAACAACCTACAATTGTAAGGGCGCTTCTTACAAGGCCAAACACGTACATGAGGGATTCTGTATACACAGAAAAGCCAACCAAAATCTGACAAATTCCCAGTGCATCCCAGAAATTTTTGAGACTACAGTAATCAGAACACACCTGATGCTGATAAGACACGAAAAATAAATGCCTTTAACCCTTTTCCATCGGTTTAGTCATCTCTGGCAACTAGCCTAAGGTCATACGTTTCTGATGATACATAAAATTCAATCTCACTAGATAAGGACATAAAATTACATCATAAACTACATCAAGGAAAAAAAATACTCTTTGAACTCTTGAAAAGATGCTTTGTTTCTTAAAGAAACACCATCAAGTTATAAAATTCACATCAACATTGAACAATATACTAGCACAACTGAGCATTAGCTGTAGAAGATGCCAATTCCCTTCTTTAACATAAAAGGTATATAAAAAGGAAAAATAATTCTAGTATCACAATGTGTCAAGTGAATGGTTAGTTTCCTAATACATAAAGTTCTCAAGAGTGTACACAATGAAGAGCTGGAAAAACATTAGATCAGCTCCTTTGCCTACTACAAAAGAGTTCCTGCTGCAGTTCCTGTAATGGCTATTTTACTCATACAGTTGTATGCTACTACAGGCCATATGCACCAGTAGGTGTAAGCCATACTAGCAGTATTTATTACCACAGGAAATGCTCCACATGACTGGGGGTGGCAGAGACAAGCAACAGAGCTGGCTCTGCTGCGCAGCAACTTCACTTCTTCTTGTGATTCGTGCAACATCCCTAGACACTCTGCATTCCGATCTTGCAACTCATGTAGCTGAAAGAGAAAAGAGGCCATCACATGATACCAGTAAGCTTCAAAGAAAAAGACAGAATGAAACTGAATTAACTCCTACAGAAACCTACATTGACTGATTCAACACTGTAGTATTTTTCCAACTGCATGGCACACGCTAACATCCAGAATGGACAACGGTCAACATAGCACCCACACCAATTTTAGTGGTGAAGCATGAAGTCCAAATTAAGACTCGAAAGAGGAAAAAGTATGATAAAATCCAAAGGAAAATACATCAAAAGCTCTGCAAATACAGTAACTGCTGATGCAAAAGAAGCCAAAAAGAGAACTTCCTTAAAATCTAATGAGCTACAGTATTGTTGATATAATCAGGAATATTCACGCTAAAACACTCTCTTTCTCCTAATGCCTAAGAATAGTAAGAAAGGGAATATCCCTTTGGTCAGTTTGGGTCAGGTGTCTTGGCTACGTCCCCTCCCAAGATCTTGCCCCCTCCCAGCCCACTGGTAGTGGTGGGAGAATGTTGGAGACACAGCCTTGATGCTGTGTGAGCACTGCTCAGCAGTAGCCAAAACATTGGTGTGTTATCAACACCTTCCTACATACCAGTAGAAAGCACAGCACTATGCAGCTTGACCCCCTACTTGGAATACCTTCCTTGCTTTTCATACTCCTACGAAGTACCAAAATATTTGTGTAAACTTAAATAAAAATAATTGTTCTTTTCCTCCAAACAAATTACTCCAATCACAATGAAAAATGAAAAGCCTTACATAATTAAAAAGCAATAGTTCCCATTCTCTCGTTTCTATTCCAAACATTTATCTAAGTGTACATATATAGAAGCCTCAAGTACCTCTGCTGTCAGTTGTCTCTGAGCATCCTTGGAAGCTTGTAAGTGAAGTTTCAGCTCCTCCTTTTCAATCACATGCTGAAAGCACAGAAAGGTGCTCATCATTTTCTCAGCCAATTTCCCCGAGAGAGTTTATCCTGTGCCATATTTCCTGAAACAGCCACTCTCTTGCAGTGCAACTCCCTGGCTTGCAAGTCAATTTTTACCTGCTGTAAGCACTGGCTTGCGCACATGCACGCACGCACACACTCTTCATCAGCATTCCCTTACTTCTTTGAGTTTATGTTGAAGATCAACAATCTGAGACAAGAGGGATGAGATCTCTTCCTGGTAGCGAACCACCTCCTCACTCTTCTCTGACAACTCCTCTGTTATTCTGGAAATTTGAGCATTTGTTTGCCCTGCAAAACATAAAAGGAACTTAGTAGAGAGCTTTTCTCAACACATGACAAAAAACCAAACCAAACCCCAAACTCAGAAAAGATAGTGAAAGTCAACCACAATTGGCAAAATGACCAATACTCTTAGGAAAACAATTCATAGCAGATAAGAGTAGGTGCCTTAGAACATCCATAAGGAAAAGATAAAGATAAATGGTGGGGAGATGGAAGAGAAAGAGAGTTAAGTTCAAATGCTGGTGTAACATATTAAGTGCTAAGTATGCAGAACCTGAAATACCTATCACAGGTATGTGAAATGACCATAACAAATCAAAGGTAAGCTGCTATAAACACTTTCAAATGACATACTGGCTCATGACCAAGGCCAGACTTGGAATATGCTGAAGAAGTCAGGCTCTGAATTGATCTTGTTATTAACTACCATTCCCTGTAAGCAAAGGCATTTTGTCAGACCTTATCAAGTGTAACATACACCTGTTTAGCTCTGAACTCTGGTTCCCCAAAGACCCATTACATACAATTTCTAGTTTCCTTTTTAATTTGAGCAAGCACTTCATCAAATGAGATTACAAAGCAGCTCAAAAAGATGAGAAATATTTTTATGCAGTTAGTCTTGTCTGTATATTTTCCAGAAAGCATAGCAAAGTCATAATAAAGTCTGATCAATCTTGCATAAAGGTCTCACTACAAATTCAGTGGCTATTGTACCTCACAGATTTACTGCAGAACAAGGTCCTGCCCATGGGCCTGTCGACATTTAAGCTCACAGTCAGATACCTTTTTCCTGAAGATGCAAATTTTAAAGCTGTAGACTAGACATTCTTTGGGAGAAGATTCTTTCTATGAGTCTACATTACCTAACATGCCTATATGCGCTATAGAATTGGACAAAGAACTGACAGATATTCTCACTGAAGGAAAACAGAAGAGCTTATTGAAATAACTTCTGTTTGCAAAGGATATTTTCTCAGAGGGAACAGAGTAAATTAACAACCAACTAAGTATCAAGTCAGTATTTTAAGGACATCTGGAACAAGAAAAAAAAGGAGAAACCTTTTTTATGGTGGTTAAACAGAAAAAAAAAATCTTAAAATATAAGCTTAAGATTATTATGCACAAAGGAAGTAGCACACATCAGATGTCTACAGATAAAAAATTGTACTAACAGGTTACACGATCATCACACAAAAAAAAGGATTGTTTCTTACTGTTTCAGAATACTTAACATGCATTTGTATAAGAGTAGCTGCAATTCTTTGCAAATAAGTAGTTCCCAAAGCAAATACGGACAACTGTTCTACACAAATTAAAACACTTGCCAATTTAAATGCTTTGGTTCATACCATATATTTTAAAATCAACTAATGTGTTCATAGATATATAATAATTTAGAATGAGCATTTAAGAGTCTATGCACTGATACATTTCAGCGTCAAGTATGCCAAATAGTCTATACAAGAGTATATTTTGATGATTTTCTAGTGTCTGTAGGCTTCAGTTTAGGAGGTTTATGGACATTAGGTTTTGTGTTAATTTTCTGTCTCTAAACACAGTACACATATCTGAAGCTGAATGCCAGTGTGAAACTTGATGAATACAGAAACAATTTTGCACTTGGGTAAAGAGCAAGACTTGAGTAATTGGCACAAATTACTGAAGCTCATTTTTTGATTCAAGTATAACTAAGAAGGTGTAGGCACTAGGTATTTCAAATACGATTTTGCCATTGCAAGATATAGCCCGGATACTCACGGAGCTCTTTGACACAGTCATTGACCAGCTGCTGTTCCTTCTCTTCATATGTAATGGTTTCTGTCTTCAGGTGGCAAGCCTTTAAGAAAATTATTGGTATTCCAATTTCAGTTTATCTATACATATATTAATGTTATAAATTTTTATTTCTGAAATTCTTGTAACTCAAGAGTATCCCCTCTATCTATCTTTATAATTCCTATGCATCTGGCCATACTTTCTAACCATTTTTTCCACCGTAACCTGTTTCCCTGAATTGTATAGGTTGTTTGAGTGAAAGACACACGGACACATGAACAAAATCTGATTTCTCGCCTCTAATGAAAAAAAATGTTGTAAAAATATTTAATTTTGTAGCGAAAGTAAACCAACACAGTAATCAGAAGTAAGCAATTGAATTTGCTTCAAAACTTCTTAAGGCAAAGAAATTTTGAAAACTGAATGATGTTAGCCAAACCGTTATGGCACTGAAAAGCTCTCAGTAGAACAGCTTTTCTCTGTACTCCCCAACTAGTCTATTTACACTGTAAATCTTCTGGGCCAGAGACAGAGTATCACAACAGGTCTAAACAAGATTGAGCATACTTGGTTCCCACTTCCATTTCAATTGTAAGCATGAGAGTATTAAACTTTGCACAGATAAGTCTTCTATATTCAGGACTGTTTGCCAGTAAGTGACTCACCATAAAACTTAAGTAAATGGGTTTAAAGATTATCCAAGCAAGTACAAGTACAGCTACACAAGTGCATGCAAACACACTTCTTTACATAATGCTGTCATATAAAAATAATAAAAAAAAAGCAAATATAGGCTCAATATGATTGAGGCTATTTCCAGTCAGTGAAGGTTCTGTTACATCACTGAATGATAGCAGTCTCTTTTCAACTCCATTTTTCACACTACGGTAGACTAAATTAATCCCTGGTCTGTGAAGTTCTGTAATGATATATAGGGTTGGGAGCATAACAAAAGCAGCCTGATCTCCTCTATTTTCTCCTACAGCACTACTAAACTATCCATTTGGTCTTAGGGAGTTTTAGGAAGCACATGCATATGAGGCTGAATATTTTGGAGACAAAACAAGGGGAAGAGTATATTTTGTTCATATTAAAGGAATCTAGTCTCTGTTGTACTGCTGTAACTAGCTTATATTGGGCAAGGCTCACATAAAAACCAAAACCAAACCAGCCCCCCACACCCACTAAATAACCCTCCCCCTTTCTTACAAACACCACCCCTCTCTCCTTAAAAACAAAAGAACCTACTTCTAACCAATCTCCTATTTTACAAGTTCCACTCTCCACCTCTGAAGAAGAGACATTGTTATCTGTAGATTCCAATTCTTTCAACCTTTGCTGTTGCTTCCATGACTTTCATAGCCATTATTTTGTCTGGCCATGTAGCATCTATCCTTGTAAAGGCACAGAGCCTGTATTCATATTTTATACACAAGAGATACCAATTAAAATACAGAGACTAATCACACAGTCAAAACTAAGTGTCTTTAAAAGAATTTGAGTAGAAGCTTATTAACCCTTAATATTGAATATAGGCTGACGATGGTAACACAATGGTGTTCCCAAAATACTACTACTACTAATCACAGTCAGACATATATCAAAACAGGTTGCACAAGCTTGAGGGCTTGATGGGTCCAAATACTTTTGCTGGGTGCTTACATATGTTCCCAATTCTTTCACATACCATAAATGCATTGAGGAAGGACTTCTAGAGGACTTGGGAGACAATTAGTAGTGAAGGAAGCAGAAGGCTATGAGGAGTGGAGGGAAAGTATGGGTATGATCTGTATACAGTGACACAAAATAGTCATATGCTTCAAGAGAAACCCAGACGCTGGATTTTTTAACCATCCTGATTTATTTCATATCCAGCATATACAGTATACACTGTAAGTCAGATATACCTTTGATCGGAGAGCAAGGTTCTCCTCTTCCAGCTCTCTGAGTTTATCTTGCAAGACATCCAGCTGCAACAGATCGTGTGATACATTGAAAGACTCATTGAAACGAAGTGGTGTGGAACAGCTGGAATCTGTTTCACTCTCCTCGGAAGCAATCGAAACAATACGAAGCAGGTCATCTTTCTTTGACAGTTCATGCTGCAGCTGGTTAACCTATGACAAAAGAAGATCACCGGCTTGTGAAATATACTTTAGCTATACAATATTACAGTCTATTATTTATGCAGCCTCTTGGAACATCACTGCTCAGGTCTAAAATGAAAATAAAAAATATCTCACAGGTCATGATCCATTTATTTATATTTGCACAGAAGATTTGACTTTTATTTATTTTATAGGAAGGTCACAAAATCATAATTTTAACACTGTAAGGGAGACTGAAAATTCAAGATAACACAGAATGGACAACAGAACCTTTTTTTAAAATAGTTTACTTCAAAATAATTTTCCAGCTGCTTTGATACATGTTTACGTTTTAACATGATAACTATCTTTTTGATTATGACCACTTTTCTGAACTGTAACTTCCTGGAGAAAAGGACTGACAGACATCTATTTATGTGTATAGACTGGTATCCCCCAAGCCTGAACATTAAATTAACTGTAGGACAAATAAAAACACGAGAAGAGACAGATCTCATTTAGGCAAATTCTATTTTGCATGTCTAAATGTTTATATGAATATATAAGTTTATACTGTCCTACAGCTAATTATGAGTATGTTTTTATTACCAGCATACTGTTTTATACAAGCAGCTGAATCCATTTCATGATAATTTAAATTACATCTGCTGACTCTAGGGTTAAAAAACTTGGGATACTTCATCATTTGTCAACTATTTAATTCTTTTTCAAGAAAGGAAAACAAAGACAAGATTAGATCAAGAATCTGTGCTTGAAGGAAGAGATGGAGTGAAGATCTTGATCAGAATTAAGTTTTCATTACATTTTATTTATTTATTTATTCTTAGTGTAAGCACCCTATTAAGCCAGCTCATCTTCTGGCTATTTCCTCACCTGTGAATTTGTTACATAGCAGGTCATATCAAATACCAACTACTTATTTTGACTTAGATTATTAGATTCTTAGTTTAATAGCAGGATATCATACTGATGGTCAAAACAAACACTTTGAAAATGCAATCCTGCTGTAGATATAATAATACCTAACACCCTCATAATTTGTCAGTAATTACAACACGCAAACTTCATAGTCAATTCTTGGACTGAGAAAGCTGATCGAATGACAACAATTAGGAGAATGACATCTAAGTATACTTCTGTAGTTTGAGAGCAGCAAATCACCTGCTTTCACAATGAAATAATATATTTCTATTAATCTTCTTACCTTCATCATAAAACAAAAAAGAAAGAAAAGGGGGAAAGAAGGGAAGAAAGAAAAAGAAAGAAAGGGAGAAAAAAGATCACTCACTCGATCTAGAGTTTGTCCTAGCTGTTCTTCTAGTGCTTCATTCTGTTCTGTCAACAGATGGTTTCGCTTAAGGAGGGCTTGTCCAATTCGAGCTGCCAGTTCGAGGTCCCGTTCTTTCTGCTCACAAAATGAGAACAAATGTCTACTTTTGATCAGATAAGGTTTAAATTCAGGGTAATTTTAGACTTTCCTAGCTATTGTTTAATGCATTGCCACTCTGAGATCCCCCTTCACTTCAAGTAGATCAACATTATTAGAACAACGATTAATGCTTCATCATTTGGATTCAGAACACATCCATAACCGTGTTATTGATACAGCATATTCTCTTCTACAGTCATTTGCAGCAACAGGGGGATGGGAAAGCACCAAACCTAAGGACAGTTTGGGGTTTTGTGCTGAGTACTGGAGAGGTTATATAATAGGCTCTGTTGAATCCTACAAAGAAGCCACAAATACTTAGGCCTGTGGTCTTTCAAGTGACACTTTTTCCAGAACAGGCTGCTTAACTTGAATAGTGTTGAGAGGGTAGAAGCAACTGGAAGCAGAAGAAAACTGTTTTTTTCTTACACTTCACTGGCTCCATGGGCGCCCATAGTTTTGCTAAATTTTGTTTCTGAGACAGTGCAACCAAATGGGGAGCTTCTCATTACCCATGTGTTTGATAAGCAGCTCCTGAAAATAACTGAACCAAAATTTCCAGTAGCTGAATAAAACCCTTCCTCAAATACATGTTCTCAAATATATTAACCCAGCATTACAGATGAGCATACCTCGGCTAACACATGTTTGACCATGTCAGCATCACTGTAGGTTTTCTGCTCCACATTATCCGTGCCAAGAACTGAGAAGAGAAAAACATGCTCACTGAAGTAGCTTAAGTACAAGAAGACTTCTGGGAAGGAGGAGATCTAAAACTCAGAGGATGTTGTTTATACACAAATACAGTACTTAGTTGATGAAACCAGCAGAGGCTGTGAAAATGCATCTTACCTTCAGAAATATGAAACAATACTCATTTGGGAGACTGATACAATGAGGTATTGAACATTTACAGTTTTGAGCAATATTAGCTAAAACTTGAGGTGCTCACACATCCTTCAAATTTAGAAAAGGGAGAAAAATCTTCTAAGATCAACTTTTTGAATACAGCTAAGCTATTAAATCATCCAGCCTGCTGGGGAGAGAGGGAAGAGTATATTGGAGTATATCCAAATACAGCTGATTACACCTGCAGACCTTATCCTTGAAACAAAATTCCCATTAGTGTGCGTGACAGCTATACATAGGAAGTATGGAGAACCCAGAGACTAGTCATGGAAACATATTTATTAAGTGCTTGATCATCTCGGGAACAGTTAAAAAGAAATGAGATAATGTATGTCTGCAATTTAGATCTCTCAGTAAATCCTATCTTACTGACTGAGTGACTCTGACGTTTGAAAAAGTGAGTTTGTAAAACTATTAAAAAACTGAGAACAAGTAGGATTTGAAAAACAGGACTGAGTCAAGGATAAACAAAGCATGAAGAATTTGCGACAACTCTGAACAAAACACAGTGCTAAAACACAAAGCACTGGTCTGCTCTAGTTCTTGTCCTGAGAAACAGAAGATGCTAGTGAAGAAGCAATCTTAATTACCTTGTGCAAATTTGTGAGATCCAGCCAAAGAGGAAGAAGGAAGTTCAATAAGAGCTAGAGTGACAGAAAATGAAAGATACGTGGGAAAAAAAGGAACAAAGAAGAGAAAGAATTAAAATGTAAGGAAATAGGTGATTTGCATGCATCCACCACCACCAAAAAATAAATGCATGTGTAAACATACTTTTTACACTGTTAAAACTTTCTTGGAACTTTTAAAGAACCATTTAAATATTATTCCCTTCAGAAGCAGAATTATATATCTCACTTGCAGGTGATGGATGTTTATGCTTGTCCAAGTGCAACAGAAATTGGCTATTTTTGCTTTATGGAATCATAATCATGGAAGTAAAGAAGGCAGCAATGTAAATTTAACAAATACAGAAGTATTTGCTTCAGCTGAAGGTCTAAGTTAACCTGTTTTGAAACTAATTCCATCATTGCTGCACTGCAAAATAAGATTACTATGGATTTGGTCTAAATTTATTTCTGAAGATTTCCTCGACTCTTCTACCTTGTTTGAATCTGATTCATACTCTGAATACATAGTGGTATTGGTTCTCAGCTTTTTTCATTCTTTGTTTTTGTTGAGGACTGCACATTTAGTTATGAGACAGTGAAATGCCAAGCTGAAGTGCACACTAACTTTATTTAAATATGCTATTTAAGCTATGTATGTTCTCTACATACATAACATCCATAATTAACCTTTTAAAACATAACTCTAAGGCTATGCTAGGAACAAAAACAAGTTGCATTTTAGTATAGAAAAAACTTTATTGCAGTCTTGAAAGTCAGGAGAACAGAAAGAACAAAATAGAAGAAAAAGGTTTACTGAACTGTTTCTCTAAGAGCTTAACAGCAAAATAAACCAAACTAACAAATCAAACACTTTTTATCAAGTAGATCAGTAGGCAGGAAAACCCAACACATGCTGTTCAAGTATTTAGGAGCTTTGAACCTACAGCAGTGCCATTTACTGACTGTATTGCTAAGCAGGGCAAAAATAGAAACTCTTCACAAAATTTAAAGTACCTATCTCTCAGTAGCATAACATACATTTGCGAGGTCAGTTTTACTGTACCGCTTGGTTGCTGCTATTGGTTGCCAAGTGGGGACTCCAAACTCATCTGGCTTACTAGTATTTGGAAAATTCACTGCACATACACAAGTAACTTTCAGCCATTCCAGGCAGAATATTATAGCCAGCTCTCCTGTTGTAACTGCTCCCACCAGATGATTTCAAGTTACAAGTTTCTATCCAGTGCTAAGTCACCTTAATAAAGATTTACACTAATTATGTAAAAGCTTACTCAGGTAGGTTCCTAAAAATCAAAAGCAAATATATTTACTCTGATAAATGAAATCACAGAACAGTTTGAAACTTAGCTCTATACAACCTTCATTATTTTCTCACAGTACAGGATCAAAATTATACATAGTTTGTTATAATTCTTTCTTGTGAACACATACATGTGTAATCTCTCCTCACTCACCTTGCCAAGTGAAAGCTGCAAGCAACTCTTCATTTTGGTTAATATCCTTGTTACGTTGTGCCATGTCCCTTTATTCACACATACAAAGTAGTTCTAAAGACAGATGTTTTGTAATTTGGGGCTTCTTATGCTACCACAGTGAAGCAGAAAATATTCTTCCACCTCACTGAAAACACTGCCAGTGGGAACTCAACCGGTCATTAGATAAACCTTCTAATAGGCAGCAGCAGCCATAAAAATAGGAGGAGCTCAAGTGCAATAACTGTTCTGTTGTTTTATTTTTTTTTTCTCTTGGATGTCAACTACAAAGTCACTCAAACCATGAGTTTAGCATTCTCTTTAGGAAAAAGTTACAAAAATGTTTCCATACATATATAGGGAGATACACACATAAAAAGCCCAAGCTATGCTTCCAGAGTATGATTGTCACATTTATTTCCAATTCCACTCAACAGAAAGATGCAAATTTCACCTAACAAGCTATTCAGCAATGATTGTAACTAGATCTTGTTTTACATCTGTATTTGTCTGGGACCTTCCCAGTACTTCCCTGTAAGTTACCAGGCTCAAAAAAGCTAAGATGATGACTACTACATTCAATCTCTTCGGACAATATCTAGGAGAAACTTAAACCGTACTTATCTTGAGTTTATATGACTCAGCAGTTACAACAGTGTTCTTAAATGACAGAATTAGTTTTGTATGTTATGCCTGATGATAATCTTTTAACTTAACGTCAGTCATTGTTACAGCTCACACTGGCTGAAGGTCCTTCTCTCAGAGCTCTCTGCTTCATCAGACTGGAACTGCAGATGTCAACCAACGAGCTTCAGCAGAGCCATGTTTGATGTAAAGTTCCTTCCACCAGTCAGACAGACTCTGATCCCACCTCTTTATAATTAAAACCTGGAGGCAAGTACACACCCCACTGACTACACCACAGCTTCCAGTGAGCTACAAAAGTGTTCACTCAACTAAAAAAAAAAAAATCATTTACGCTTGCAATGTTATTATCAGAAACAGACTGAGCAATAAACATTAAATGGTTTTCCAAATACTTTCCACAGTTAAAAAAGAGTTCCAAGTCTGCAAGTTCAACTGATAACAAGATTGCCTTAAATTGTTGAGTACTGCATTCTTAGGAGGTAATATTTTACTTTTACTTACTCATTTGCTGTACACCCTGGGTGAAAGCTTAAAGCACAAAGAACAACAAAAAAAACCTTTCAGTGGTGGCATGTAAAGGAAGAGGTAATCATTACAGACTGTATATAAATACCAAGTTCACTCCCTCAAGTGGTTTGCTGCAATAGTTCCAATAGATGGAGGAAACAGGAATTCCCCATTTCTCAAAAATTATTACAATGTATTCTCCTCTTTTCATATGAAAACACTTGAAACTACAAGCAAGTAAGTGTTCAGTTCTTTTGGTAGCCTGCTATACATTTGATTTTTAACATATTAAAGGTTTTTTCTTGTGATTGGAAGCTATCCATTTTCTTCTTTATGATTTGCTAGGTTTAAGGATAAGTTACTTAGTATTTTCAAAACTGGAAGACAGTGATTAACACCAATCTAGTATCCACCTATATGGCATTCACACCATTTCTATCTCCAGAAGTAACTATTAACAACATTTCAAAAGCAACGTTGACACAAAACATCAAGGAAAACATCATCATAAGAACAGCATCATTAACATTCCTGAAAACAGAGCTGCTGCATACTCCATACCTCTCATATTACACCTAATCTAGAGCAATTCTAGGTTCCTGACTCTTTTTCACTATTACATGTTCCCACTCTTACTTCTGTGTGGAATCTAATGATCAGGCAGCCATGGAACGTCCTAGGTCAGTCCTTAGAATTGCAGTGCTGAACTACAAGCATTTCCCCTGAACTCAGCTTTTTCTTCCATCTGTCCAAAGATTTCCAGATTTGAACACTTTATAATATTAATAATATTAATCTTATATTTGCAGTTGTCTCTTCAATAATTGAAAAATTAAAAAAAAATTCTAGGCCCAGATATACTCACTCAGGTAACGGAAGGGCTCATCGTCATTAACTGGAGAAGTGATTTCAGGAAGACGGCCATGGCAGGCAGGGGACTGAACCCAGTCTTGATTTTCATATAGATACAGAGAGTCCACTCGTAACTTGTAATCTGGCAACTGTTCTTCTAGCATGCTCACCAACTCTACCTCAGGAAGGTCCTCGCTGGAGCAGACATCTGAAAGTAAGTAAAAGCCAGTAATAGCATATTACTATTAAATAGAATCATAGAATCACTTGGTTGGAAAAGACCTTTAAGATCATCGAGTCCAACATATACATAATATTGCTACAGTAGTATACATTCTATATACTATAAAATACTTTATAAACCATCAGTAGATTTGAAAGTAATTATTCTGTACTGGACAAATTACCAGAATACTTATTGAAACAAATATTACAATGTAAATCAAGTATTGAAATTTCTTCATCCTCACAGACTCCACAACTTCCTGGAAAGCTGGTCCAGCCATGATTCCCTCTGTCTTCTTGAATATGATGTATGTAATGAAGTTCAATGTCTATCTTTTCCTCTTCATTGAACTAAAACACAGACCTACATTTTACCAGCTATTGATTTCGTAAAGTTTCATTGGCTTTAGCATACATTTCCCTTTTCTGAAGGAAATTCACATTTTTCTTGTTCTTCTGTTTATTCTTTTGTTAATGAACATGGATGTAAACAATCTTTAAGTAACTACAAAAATCAACCGAATACTGCCTTGAAATCAGGGAACAAATACAAAATTCCATTATCTTCCATATGGAATAAGACTCAGAGAAACACAATACTCAAAATCCTGGAGAGGAAGTTCAGCTCTTCCTGTATCGTGCCCCCCCCCCCCCCCCAATTTCTTCACAGTTATTACAAAAAAAGGAAACATGAATTCTAAGTCGCTAAAATACTGCATATCAAAGGTATAAGATTATTATCTTTCCAACATTTCCACTAAAGATGAAGATTATCTTCAATATCTTTCAATGGAAAATGTTGATTATTGATACTGAGAATTTTACAAACAACATTTTACAGTGGAAGCTGATTTTACAAGGTAGTTAAGAGGACTCACTATTTTTGTTCATTTGCAATACCAGATAAGCAATATAAAGAATGTGAAACTTAAGGTTGTCTTCAGGTTGATGTTCTATAAAATGTTAGATACATTCAGCATTTGTAACAGTTAATTCTTCAACTTACCAGAGACACTCTCCAAGCCCCTGTGATCAAAATTCATGAGTCCTTTCTTCACAGTTCACTTCTTTGGAAATAGCATTCTGTAGTCAGATTGTGCATTGTCCCTTTATTGCTTTGGTAGAAAGATGGCTTTGGTTTATAGACAAAGTGAGAGCCATCAAGCCACCAAGACAGTAACAAATCTGGCATCAACTCACTTCTGTAGTTCATACTGGGTCATACTCCAGATCTATTGCCATCTTATGACATCCTTATTTCATCTGGGCTACTACCAATCAGTAGAAGTATCTATAGGATATTTCATGTAAGCTTCATGAGCTTCTCAGCTCAGCCATCATCTAGAAAGAAAACAAAGAGAATGACAAGTTTAACAGGTGTCACTCTTTCAAATGAGACAGGTAAATTAATGTGACTTCATCTCTTTCAGTCTGAATTTCCTCCCTGTACTATCATTCAACTGAAAAAAAAAAAGCAAACAAACATTTTGATCCTCAGTTTACACATTCCATGTAAAAGGTAGCATTAAAAACATGTCTTTTCCCTGCAGACATAACATCTCACCTTCAGCATCTACTTTGTCAAATTACCTATTTGTCTATACCATTCCTCCTCTTCCATATAATGTTTAGTGTATGGCAGGTTCATTCACTGAAAGAAGGCATTTCCTTTTTACTCTAAAGAACAGCAGCTCCAACTAAACAGATATTTTCTTCAAGCTACTACATTTATTTAAAGCAATGGATTCTAAAGGCGGGATTTCAAAACTGTCATTCTTAGCATTTTGATCGTTAAAAAAAAAGTTTTATAGGACTGTTTGCTTTAATCCCTTCCCCTTTAGAAGTCTGTTAATTAAAAACTGGATCTATCAGAAATTTACTTTGTGGATCATGACAAAGTTTGTGTTTCCTTTTCAGCAGGGACTCATTTAAACTGGAAATGAAACTACCATGACTAACTCAGGTAGTCTACCCGAACAGTTTAATAAAGTAAAAATTCTGCTGTTCCCTTGCCAAGACTGATCAATCATCTTCCACGTAAAATACAAGAGTAGTCCTAGATGACAGAAAAATATAAACAGAAAGAGAACGGAAGTCTCATTTTCCCTCCTCCTACAGTCAGTAAACATAAAATTCTCTTGAAATCTTACATTAATTTCAAATTTGCTCTTAACGTTTTCCCTAAGATCCCCCATCACCAAGCACAACAATCACAAGTTTGTCTCGCTGCCTGTAGCAACCTCTCATTTGACAAGATGAAGATGAACAGTGCAGGAGCTTTTTAAAGAAATCCTAGCTAGAGCCTGCCAGTTCATCTGCTTGCAGACTTTGGCAGGAGATCAATAAAGAACTTCCGTCCATTAAGGTCAGCTCATGCTTGTGAGCAGGATCTTCTTGCTTTGTAATGTATTTTTATATATACACTTTACTTACCAGTTTTAATTATTATCCATATTAGACACTTATTAAAACAGTAAGACTGAGATTTCAGAAAACATTTGCTATCTCAATGTATACCTGCTTCCAACACTAGCTACTGATTTTTTTCAAGAAGCTGTTTTTCAAATGGATTACAGAAAAGCATTACCTACACCACCACCCCCAAACAACTCAATACAGCAGAAGACGACACTTAAGACGACTGCTGTAGATCCACACAGCCAAGATGATTTTATCTTCTAATAAAAAGGGTCACTGTAGAGCGAGATAAAATTCAGCGGCATAAGACAGTTTCTTCACAGCTCTGCATCTTTCTCCTTTGAGTTTTAAGAATGTAAAAAAGAATGACACTGCCTCTCAAGATTGGATTTAATCTCTCTTCTAAGTAGTGCAAAACAGAAACACTATGTGTTGCGGTCAATCTCAGTTCAGCCAAAGAAGAGAGAAAGAGAGACAAAGAAAAAAACAATTTGGCTCAAAGTTTTCTAGAGCATCAGGCCAACATCAAGCTATCAAATTGAAAGGGCAACCTCATTTGTAAAACCTTTGAGAAGTTTACTAGATAAGCAAACACCATAAAAGTTAATGCTCACTTTTCCAATGCTTCTCATAGCTTTAGTTTAGTGTGCCATGGGGCAACTTCTCTGGAAATTCAACCAGCCAACACACTGTGCAGTACCACCCTGAAAGTGACTCCATAACCCTTTTACTCTGCAGCTATAAAACTATTTAGTAAGTGCAGATTCCTTCTGCAAGTTGCAACTAAAATTAAATACATTTGCATAAACACCATAAAATTTACAACATGGATTTACAATACATGACCGCACTATAAAAAGATGGTCTAGAAATTAAAATTGTTAAATCATGCAGAAAGACATGCCCAAAACAGAAGCCAGAAAATCTTCTCAGGTATTATTTTAAAATTTTATTTATAAAGATTATTTCCACTGTCAATTTACTAGCAGTCTTTGACCTGCTATGCCACCTGGACATCCACAAGTCTATGGGGCCGGATGGGATCCACCCAAGAGTGCTGAAGGAGCTAGCAGAGGAGCTTGCCAAGCCACTCTCTATCATTTATCAGCAGTCCTGGATAACAAGATGACTGGGGGGTGGGAAAA